CAATTCAGAATGGATTACAAACATTAGGTGAATTTTGAACCAATTTCTGTTTCCAAAGTGAAGTCCTATACAAATTGACTTGGAAATAAATTTCATTGACTCCAATTTGCCTTACTTGGGTTTTGAATTGCAGTCTCATTCCCTCAATCAATATGCTGCACTATTCATTTAGTGTAGCACTTCTGTATATGGTTTATAAAATGCTTTGCTGATCTAAATGTCTATAATATTAGAACAGAACTATTTATCATATCACTTCTACAAGAATATCTAAACATAAAACAACAAAATATGCAGTCTGTTATACTCAGCTATATCTGAAATGGTACAGCAGTACTTCAAACTAAATTGCTGATATTTCTATAATGCTTGTGCTAATAAAACAAGATGCTTTATTCTTAGGGTAGCAGTCAATAATTCAAAACAAATGGTAGAGCAGCTTCTGAATTTGATAAAGAAAATTTAAAGTAAAACATACTTCAGACTGTCTCCATATGGTTGGGTTTGTGCAACATGCTTACCCAAGTCAAAGATAGCTGCATTCACACAACTTGGTAAGCTGTAATTTTAACCTGTTTGCTTTGTGGCTCAGTCTGATAGGCAAACCAGGCTATTTAATTTAGGGTTCAGTATGTTGTGTGAATCCAGGTTAAACGTGTTGTATGAACTTAGCCTATCTGGTGCCCTGGCAATACCAAATAATTTTCTCCATGCTACCTTATTGTGCTATTAAAAATATACCAATAGAGGTGAATATGTGTAGCTCAGGGTTGAACTGTGGAGTCCCTGGGGTTCTCTGAGTTTGGTTCTTTTCTTGCAAACGTTTCATTACCTGGCTCATTTGCAAGAAAAGAACCAAGCTCAGAATCCCAAGGACTCCACAAAAATATACCACTTGCCATGATACATAAGCAAGGCAGAAGAAACACAGTTTCAAGAATTCCAAGCAACTTTGGCTCTTTGGGTATATTTAGAATTTTAAAAACTTCATCTGGCACCTGATGAACATAGCCTATCCCAGATCCACCCAAAGGCAAACTGAAGATGAACTTCCTGCTACATACCATCACTTTTCAGACACTGCCTACTTTTCTAGTTTACCTTTTATTTTTGGTGAGGGATTTGGACTAGTGGGCACATGTTCAAACAAATGAGAGCTGCAACCCACCACTTTTAAAGAACGCCCAATGAAGAGACCCTAAATTACGTGGCTGAGCTAAAAGGTGTTTTTTTTTTTTTTAAGTATTGTCATAACTCGTATTCTGCCACAAGTAAAAGGCCCGCAGAAGCCTAGTCCGAGCTACCTGAGGTGGGAGGTGCTCGTTCCCACTTCTCGAGTTTCATGGCTCTTAGTGTGGTTGTTGGTCAGCTGAGGGGAAAAAAAGTGCAACCGTTAATTATGTCTACAGCCCTACATCCATTTCCGTCACAGAAATAGATTGAATTAAACGAGCCTTGCTTGAATGCGACGACGTTGCAAAGGTTAAAAAAAGTTTCTACTGGAACTCCGTTCCCGGAGACCCGCCGTTGTCGTTTTGACAATCATACGGAAGCTGTTTACATACGTCTTCCGCCGTGACGGTTTTCTAACCTTCCACTCCTACACCTGCTTCCCCGTTCGGAGTTTTCGCTCCGCCTCCTGGGAGGGCTTGTCCCGCCCGCTAGTTGCCGAGCGGGAAAGCGACCCGCCCACAATTCTTGTTCAGTCGTTAAGTCGTGTCCGACTCCGTGACTTCATGAACCATATCGCGCCAGGCCTTCTCGCCCACAGACCGCCGCACAATCGTCGGTCCCCTCCTCCTCGCCTCTCATTGTGACGTCACAGAGGAGGCGCAACCGGATTCGCTTTCTTCTCCTGCTCCGGAAGTGGCGGAGCTAATGGGAGATGCCCGCGGGCGGCGTAGGTGGTGCTGCGCCGCGGGAGCTCCTTCGACATGGGCAAGAAGGAGCGAGGTAAGTCGTGGGCGCTTTCGTGGCATACTCCTCCGCTTTATCTCCTTGGAGTTGGGGGCTGTTTCGGTTCTCTTCAGGGAGCCGGTCTCGTCCTCGGGGCGTTGCTTCTCCTTCGACGGGGAAGTTCTCCAACCTGGCGCAGCCGGCTTTCCTGAGCGCCTTCCTTAAGCCTAACGCCGGTTCTATTATTCTTACGAAACATATTCAGACAGCTTTGTGGCAGTGATGCATTTGATGACAAACAGCGTTTCCCTGTTTGTGATGAATCAGTGCTTTACGTGCTCACGTTGTTTATTCTCCCTTTAAACCAAGACATTGTTTTTGCCCACTCATTTCTCCTCCTTTTGCTTTAAATAAGAAATAAATTTGGGGCTTTGTGGACACTTTTGCATGGAAATTGTTCAGATGCAAAGTATAGCTCTGCGAATCAAGATAACTCCTTGAATAAGATACTGTTTATTTAGAGAAAAACGTCAGAATGGTAAGCGTAACTTTGCCATAATCTCAAGGAAAGCTGGTGGTACTTTGTATAGCTGTACCTTTTCTCCTTGAATAGGAAGTAGGAAGGAGCCTTGGGACAGCTAAAGCAATTCTCCCCAACCTGGTGCACCTCAAGTCATCCCTAGCTACTTATAGGAACAATTATTTCTAATGCCAGTAAAAATAAGTTGATTTCTCTCAAGGTTTTTCATTAGGAAATGGCTCCATTCATGCTGTCATTTGGCTGAAGGGCAAACAGTTGTGGAGGCGCATGTGTGTTTAATATGGTTGAATTTCCAGATAAGAAGAAATCAAAGAAACGCCACTATGAGGAGGAAGAGGAAGAAGAATATGACCTTACAGGCAAAGAATCCCAAGAAGCAGTTCCATCAGCTGCAGGGAAGCAAGTGGAAGATTCGGGGACCAAAGTCGATGAATATGGTGCAAAAGACTACAGGAACCAGATGCTGCTCAAAGCTGACCATTCCTCACGCCCGTTGTGGGTGGTAAGTCCTTTTAGGTGTTTTGTTCAGAGAAAAGAAACCACTCATCCTTTCCCAGCCTGCTAGCTTTCACATGTGGCCCTGTAGGTAGTATCTCCATGCCTGTTCGGTTCATGTGACACACTAGCGCTCTCTGTATTTCACATGATAAATATTCATCTATTTTAAAGGAGCTGGAAGGAATATGAATGGTAACTTAGGCCCTTCTATTATGATAAAGTGCCTGATTTTTTGTGTGATATATATATGTGTGTGTGTTTGAGAGAGAGAGAGAATTAATGACAATGAAGTCAGTCATGCAGGCAGAAGGAATACTGTTGCTTGGTGCATAAATTTTCTAGGGTGTTACATCAAAATACTTTCTCATTCTTTGGATGGTTCTGTGAGAAATGTCACTTTTCAGATGGTTTGGAAATGCCATTTATTTTCAGAGCAATTTTTTTAATAGCTCAGTTCAAAAACCCACGGTCCTTGACAATAGTGTTCTGCTTCTGCTTGTAACCTCAGCCAGCATAGCCAGTGATGAGAGATGCTGGGAGCTGTAGCTCAATAATATCTAAAAGGCCACAGGACCCCTCACCCCACCACTAGAGAAGCATAAATACAAATACATGTAAATGGGTCCATCTCCTAGCCTCATACTTAATAGCTTTGGTAGTTGTAGTTCTTTTGGTTGTGCTCAGTGTTTTTGTCTCTCCTCCTCTAGGCTCCTGATGGCCATGTTTTCTTAGAAGCCTTTTCGCCTGTGTACAAGTATGCCCAGGACTTTCTTGTTGCCATTGCTGAGCCAGTTTGCCGGCCTACCCATGTCCATGAATATAAACTGACTGCTTACTCCCTCTATGCTGCTGTCAGTGTGGGTTTGCAAACTAGTGATATCACTGAATATCTACAAAAGCTGAGTAAGACTGGGGTGCCAGATGGGATCATTCAGTTTATTAAGGTACATGGTCATTCATTATCTATCTGTATATTCAGGATATAAAGAGCTGGACGCTGAAAAAAAAAAGACAAAACATCACACGAGATACCACATCTTCTGTCATGCTTGGCTGTGGTGCACAGCTTCATGGCAAGAGTTATTATTTTGGAAAAGAAATGATAGAATCATGCCATTTACGTTTGATCATTTACTTGAGCTTAATTAAGGGAGACAAAGAAACAACTGGTATGTGACTAGAGGAAAGTTGATTCAAGAACTGCATGAATGACAGAAAAGGCTTGTTTTTTCATGGTAATAAGCTAATGCTGTTATGGAGCTTGGCCAGGATTTTACAATGCTACATTGATCATATTATGAAAGCAAACTTTGACAATTTATGAAGTTTGGTACCTCCCTAATGTTTTCTTCATCCCTACCAATATCCTTTAGAAGAACATAGTGTGAATCCTGTCCATTGTGTAGTAAATGTTTTTATTTTGCCAGTAGATGCTGAAATATGGGCACAGGTGGCAAAACATGCTTTAGGGGGTTCTTATAAGTTTTGGTAAATCAGCCTTTCACAACCTATGGGCATCCAGAAATATTATATTACAGCACCCATTGTCCCCATCTGAGTAATAGGTATTGTGGTGTAATGTACTTGAAGAGTGCTAGGTGGAAGAAAGTACAGTGGAACCTCGGTTTACGAACTGAATTCGTTCTGTGACTCTGGTCGCGACT